GTGTGTGTGTGTGTGTGTGTGTGTGTGTGTGGGGGGGGGGGAAAGATATGTGTGTGTTATGTGATGTGTGTGTTGCGTCTGTGTGTGTGTGGGTGGGGGGGGGTGGGGGGAGACGGGGGGGGGGGGCGACCACCAATCAATCAATCAATCAATCCAGTTTTGTTTTTCTTTTTTTTTTTTATACCCCCAACCCACCCCCTCCCAAAAGTCGTTTTTTTTAATTTTTTGTGTGTGAGGGGGTGGGGTTGGGCTTGCGCAACCCGAATCAGCCCCCAACCTCCGCCCCCCCCGCCCACTGGCCGCAAAATCACGCGGATGTGCGGCCATGGCTGCGGGGTGGCGGCCGCGGCCGCGCATGGCCGCCTCCGGGTGGGATTCACTGCTCCCGGCTCCCCATCGGGGGGCTGGGAAGTCTGACAGAAAGTAGGATAGAGATAGGGGTGGTGTTAGGGGGAGGAGATGAGAAGAAAGCCCAAAGCTCATTGACCTTGTCCCAGATCCAAGAAACTTTGCCCAAACTCCTCCTGGGATTGGTGCAGATTGCATTCTTTTCCATCGTCTGAGACTTTCTTTTGACAGTCCTCCTTTCCTTTTTTTTCTTTTTTTTCTTGGACATTCCTCCTCGCAGCTCCGTTCTGCAGCCATAATTTACGAAAAGACACACTCAAAAGGCTTGAAAACTACATGTACATCCCAGCAATCGTCAGTTTGACTCCTGCAGCCATAATTTACGATTATGGCCATTTAGCAAAGAAGCAGTCCACCCAAGCAGAGAGCCCAATATCTTTCGGATGACGACTATTCAACTAGTTCCCTATCCCTTAACCTGACCCACCCTGAGTACCTGGTGTCCACTTCGGACAGACTCATGCTGGCACAGCACATTTTCAATCCTGTCCGTCGCTAAATAGTCTCAATTTATCCGATCAATGCATGCTGTTTCCACCCAGGACAAATGGATCATGGCTGGGTTGTAAGTAGCCTGTGGGTTTGGTCTCCTGGAAGGCTGGAACTGGTACTCCCTTCCCTTAAACCACCAGTACACCCGGGCCGGGCGGCCTTCCACTGCGCGCCAAGCTTTACTGGACGACCAGTGGCACACTTTTTTCCTATTTTGGGTGCTTCTGCCAGCCATTGTGGTCCGATAGCCCCAGGCCTCCGAAATTTTAGTAGACGGGGAACGATTTCTCACAAAGGTGGGGCCGTGTACTTTCGGTTAAACCATCCTGCGTAGTGTGTGGTGATGTCCTGTTCGATACACAGGGGAACTTGAGTGCTGCATGTGCACACACCGTTTACCTTTCTGAATGCTTGCACCCAATATCTGTCTGTTCTCTTAGCAGCTGCTATGCTCATTGAACAAAACAATGTGTGTGGCTGTGTGTCTGGGTGACACTGTGTGTGTCTATCTGGTACTCCCTTCCCTTTTTTCTTTTTTTTTGAAACACGCCCCTACCGGTGGTAGTGATGCTGATAAGGGCAGACATCACTAACACCTGGGGGTAGGCTCCGTCTATTGGTGGGGAGCAGCACCTGCTGGAAAACGGGTCCAGTGTCCCATATCTGCCGACCTGCATGCCTTGCTGCTCGCTTCCATTGCCTTACTGTTTGTGCATCCACACGCGTGCCTTGCTGATGCCTGCATTCTTGCCTTGCTACCCACAGCTAGAGGCAAATACGATTATTGGTGTCACTGCGCAACTCACCAAACTCATTTTTCGGTTAGTGGCAGGGACCACACCGCTCGCCAATGGTTCAAGTGTCAGGAGTTCCATCAGCCGATGTGAAAATCCGCTGCTCTCCCAGCCTGCAACATTGTATTTCGTAGGGTCCTTTCAGTGGCCCAGCAAAGTGGGTGAGGATGTGACCAGTCCAGACCACCAGTCTGGACTGTTTTTTTTCGCATTCAGATTTCCTCGCCAGACTGCCGAGATGCAGAGGACTTGTTTTGAGTGAATCTAACGGACAACTGGGTCAGGTACAGGCAAGAAAATAGTTTGGTGTTGGAGTGAGGGCTGCTCTGCAGCACACACCCGGAATTCGTTTCTCTCTTATATGCCATTATTGTGAGTTCCTCGTTGTGGATAGTTGGTGCGGCCATAAGCGAATTTGGTGAGTTTTCAGGCCCTATCAAGTGGCGAGAACTCATCAACAATTTTGCAAGTTGGTGAGTGGTGCAGCAAAGGGGCCATAACTTGGACCCACCAAACGCAGCCGGGCTCCGTTGATAAGGCACGCGGAAGTGGCATTCAAGAGGTCTTTGGTTCAATCCCCATTGGCCTCATGTACCTTCCTGGGCAAGCCCAGCGCCCACCACCTAGAGATAGAAGGTTGGTCCCCCGGAGCGGCATTGAGCAGAGACTGCTGACGTTCGTAGAACGGGACTGGAGGGGAGGTACAGCTACTGACCCATCGAAGAAGCTCGGACAGGTGCTGATGCTACCGGCCGCTATCGCCCACCTGAAGGTCGGGCGCAGCCCCCACATGTTCCCTCGTTGGAGGCTTGAACTCGCTGGCTGCTACCAGGTTCCCCATAATACCATAAAATGACAATCGAGAAAGGCCTCAAAGGCCTCCCTATCAGGATCGACAGGTGATAGAATTGGCTTGGGCTGAAAACAATTAGCCTTACTAAAAAGTAAAAAGAAAAAAAAAAGAAAAAAAAAAAAAGAAAGGAGATGCACCAAAAGAGTATTCTGCAACTGTCAAGGGCCCAGTAACCTGATGAGTCAAAATAGTCTGTCACTGCCTCCTTTTTGTCTTTTTCAGTTTGTTTCTCTGTCTGCTTTATGTCAGCTTCGAGCCCACTCACCGGCCCTTGGCTTTTTCATTTAGTGGTCATTTCCATGCAGTCTTTTCCTATTGTCTTCTCGACCCTTTCCTTTTTCACTTGTTGCCTAAGTTGCTGAGCATTTCCATCCTCTTCTTTTATTACCTTCTTGCCCATGGGCCCTTTCCCTTTTCACTGTTTTCACTTGCTCCTCATTCTTTCCTTATTACATTGTTGCCTTCTCACACACACTTCCTGTGTTGTCTTTCAGCCTATTTATCAGTTCATCGTGAGTTGTCCTTTCACAGTGGCATGTCAAACATTCCTCATGCTCAACCTCTCTCTCTCTCTCTCTCTCTCTCTCACACACACACACACACACACACACACACACACACACACACACACACACACACAAACACACACACGATTCCACACAGTAGCCCGCCCCTTCCCACACACACACTCACAAACATCCCTTGGCAGACATACAATTGTGCTATCGTTGTGGACACTGTACAGGAAAGGTATATACCAAACTGTGTTATCCTTGTGGACACTGTACAGGAAAGGTATATGCCAATATGAATCGGAGCATTTCTACTGTTACATGAACTTGATTACAATTAGTGACAGAACAACTATCAGGTAAGCTGCATAGGAACGCCATCATAGATACGCCAACCGCGGCAACCGTTTCCACAAAAAGGTGAACAAGTGGGATGCTGGCCGCTCAATACTACCCTCAGCTTTGTGAAATGCATGTCAGCTTCCTTCTGACCCCATTGTTTGTCACTCCTGGAGATGATTCACCTGCGCACCCTCGCAGCCCTGCACACTGGGGTGTAAACTCCCATTCCCTGTGTATTATACGAAAGAGATGCAGAAGGCCACCTCTTCATCGTACATCAAACCAAAGATGCGCAATGGCAGTTTGCTTCATAGCCATATGTCGTTTCACCTACAAGTCCTCTTGTACGCCGAAAACACAAAGCAGTTACCTCCTTCGTCCTGCTCACTTTTAGAAGACCACATCCTTAGCCATTTCATAGTACTACCGCCGAACAGAAAACATCAAGAAATAGCTTTCTTAGCCACCCTCTCACACACACTTGTCCATCTTCTTCAGGACTTCAACTGAGTTCCCGCAAACTGTGCAATTATAACCTCCACCAGCTTCCTCATTTTGAACTGTCCCTTCCCAAATGTGGTTCATATGCGTATCAAGACAACCTGAAGATGGCACACCGATGTTTTTCCTTGGATCAACGAGGAGCGCCAAAGAATATACTGTCGCTGTTTCTTTTGCCATTTTCCTCCTGAGAAAGAAACAGGCTTTGCTTGCACTCAGCGGCGCTCCTCTTTCAAGTTAGAGAAAAGCGCATCTGGCAGACTCGCTTCATTGTGCTGTTAGACGCACAAACGCAAGCATCACTACCGTGTGTGCGCTTTCTGCAATCTGACTCCATTGCACTTGAATTGAATTGTTTCCACCTTGTTCATTTACTGACCAAAAAGGTGCAATCTGACTGCAGCCTGAGGCAGTTAACCTTCTCGCTTGAGGCCTGAGGCAGTTAACCTTCTCGCTTGCAGTTCATCCTGAGCCTCCTATCACCTCTCAAGGGGCAAATTTTCAACCTTGTCCCTGCATCTTCTCTTCCTCTGTGTAAGAACTGAAAATCCCATCCTTCGTAACGCTGACCAACTGATGTTTTCCGTCACACGTAACTGAGATAACATTGAGAAACAGACTGTACCATCAATCCAACCAGGCTGCGCGGCCATCATGGCAGAAGCATAAAGTACCTGCAACAATCTGTTAAGGCTTGCGCAGGATGTGACAGTCACCATCGTCGTGATAGCAAAAGCGCAGGGAGCGGTTGAATCCTTTCCGGATCGTCATGCCCAGTTCCACCGCCCATGAGGTGTGAGGTCACTTAATGCACCTTGAAAGCAACTGCCCTTTCCGTTCATTTTCGGGAAAGGAATGCTAACCTCTCACACATGCCAGACGATCTATAACTGAAATGACTTCAAAACTTTTTCGGGCGTGCTTCCTTCTAAAAGTGCCCCGCATATCTACATACTACATCGCCAGTATCTCTCCTCTGTAATTGGAAGCACCGCCAGCAACCTCTACAATCGCAACCTTACTTGCACGTTCCCATTCTATGTTTTTCCGCTCTTCAGCAGACAGACATATTCCTTTCTGAGTCATAAGCAGCCACACTTACATCGCACAGACCGCCCTCGACCTGCGTCAGAACTGGCATGATCACTGGCATCCAGTCTGGAGATTCCTGTACAGCACTGGCATGTGTTCCTATTCCATCTCAAGAAACTGGCAACCAGCCATGCGATACCTTGCCCACCTTTTCCCTTTTGTTGACATCACCATCCCAGATTTCTCTTTATCTGATGCCGCCGTCTTGACATGCCTCTCTACCCCCGACTCTTCGCGGCAATTGCTACAATCGTTACAGTGATTGCACTATGCTTTGAGCCATTCTCCGCACACTCTTTCTCTGCTGCTTTCTCATAGAGTCATAGCCTCAAAAGCGGTGAAGGTTTCAATCTCCTGGATACACCCCCTCTAACCCTCCCTCACCTTTTCAACGGTCAACGTCGAGAGGGACATGGACGGAGGGCAACCGCAAGCACCACCTTTGACTTCATACTTCATACTTCAAGGAGATGGGCATGCTCTGTAGCCACCTGCTCCAAACCATTGAAAAGTGAGAAAAGGTGGTGGTCTCAATCAACAAGGGGAAGACGAAAGTGATCGTCACGATGACCCTTCATCCCTTCGCATCTTAACCTTAGCTAAAAGAACTTTTAGGTGGCCTCAAAGTGAAGGTATGGCACTGAAATTCCCACAGCCAATGGAGGAATCACCCCAAAAGCTGTGACACCAAGGTTTTGGACATTCTAGCAGCTTCACCAGACAGAAGGGAGGATGATATAGACATGAATTATTAACATTGTTGAGTACAAAGGAGCGGAAGAAAAATGGATACAATTGGTCCTACAGTAAATTTAAAGCAGGACGCCCAGGAGTGCAGCAGCAACCTTTGGCATCTGGAACACTCCACCTAAACGAGCGATGGGAAGCTAGGAAGAAATGGTACCCAGCTACTCGCCAGTGCCAAACACGTTGTGCAACCTACTTGTGCTTTCAATGGGTTCCCTTGGAGCCCCAGAACCGAAGCTCTGAAGCGATCATGGTGTTATTGACGACCTTTGCTGGATCGTAGTCGTCGAGAGCACATTTGACTTTCGGTCAATCTGCCAGCAAGATCACTCACAAGTCATGGGGAAAACAGGCATGTAGAGTTTCCTCCCGATGCATCCCCCATAACTGTTGGAGCATAAACAAAACAGTCCTCTTTCGATCGTGGAATTTCTGTCCGAAATACGACAAGTCCACTCGTCACTCCCGCGGGCAAGTCTTGAAAGCCACTTGTTTCACCAAACTGACTCATTGACAATCATTCATGTTTCACACTCACCCGCACTCTCTGTCATGTGATGACCAGCTCCTGTTGAATCTTCGTTAGCTTCGCATCACCACCGAGGACATCGTTGATGAATCCCTCCACCTTCTCAAGGGTGAGTGGTCCTTGACATGCCGCAAAGTTTCCTCTCCGAGGCTTGTATGCCAGCAACAGGCCATTTCCAGACGAATGTGGCATTTTCACCCCGGGAAACGACGACAAAAATGATGGCTGTGTGCTTGTGTCCAAAAGCGCGTACGATATCGGGGACTTCTGAGTCGCATAGCGGCTTGCTCTGACAAAAGATTTCTGCGAGACCTGTCCCAGAGTCACCACGTCCACATTCGCCATCATGTTCCAAGACAGACAAAGCAGTCAGATTCCCACAAACATTCACCACGATACCCCTCTTTTAAGTTTTTAACCATAAACTTCCTTTTGGAAATCATAATACCATTGAAAAAAATACTTTTATGTCGCCATGTTTGCTTCCTGAAACGGATATCACAAGCATTTATTTTGAAGTGCAAGGTCACTTCCTGTCTGCGCCATTGAGCGGGAAGTGCCCACACACCTGGCCACCTCACCCACAGTGTTGATCAATATTCTTTGCACGCAACGGAGAATGCTTTGAACGAGTGGGCTCGGCAGCAGGAGGCCGAAGGCAGAGTTGTTCTAGGAAGACACGCAAATGATTCTGTTCTTCACAAGGCACAAAGAGTTGTTCTACGAGCTCAAAAGTTCACACCACAGATAGTATTACTTGTCTATTGCCACATCTCAATGCATACACAGAGGAATTTCAAAGCAGTTTAAGCAGGAGAAAAGACCGGAAGGGGTGGAGAAAGAGACCCATACCTCGATATACACTGCCGCGAGAGACTGGCAGAAAGACAAAGGTGACTGATAGGCTAGGGCTATGCACACTGCCTCAGTGCCTAGTATAGCCACGGCTACACAGAGGACACCCACACTTTGGGTTTTCCCTGTGACAGCAAAACATTCAGCCCTCACACCTGAGCTATGCTATTTCAGATGGTGGGAAACAAAGATATAATACGCAACATACTTCTTCATGCAGGGAACATTCTTCTCGACATCCTAAAATTGGAACGATACGGAGAAGATTTGCACCGTGAGGATGCCGTCGTGCCCGAGCCGGTCACAAGCCGGTCGTGCCCGAGCCGGTCGCGAGGAAACGGACCAGTGACGTCCATGGCAATGGAGAGACCAGGTTCCCGTGGGATAGGCAACGGGTGTAACTCGCCGTAGGGATTGCGGTTGCGGGGCTTGCTGCGTCGGCAAACTTCGCAAGAGTCCCAATACCGAGTGACATCGGTAATGAGGTCGGGCCATCGGAATTGGTGTCGAAGCCGTGCAATAGTGCGGTTGACTCCGAAATGGCCGGCGAGTCGTGAATCATGGTACTCGCCGAGGAGGCGAGTCCGAAGACGACGGTCGCGTGGGACACATAGTAAGTCCTTGCCTCTCGAGTGGAGGAGCAAGTACCCATCGGCAATGCGGTAATGGCTGGCCGACGGGTGATCCGAAGATAGCTGTGCATAGAGCGTGCCGAAATCCGGATCAGACTCATATGCCCGGGATGAAGTGTCGCTGAAGCTCCTCGTCGAATGCGAAGGCATGATGTATCATAGCGCAAAGATCTGGTCTTCGCGAGAGTGCATCTGCTGCGCGATTTGAGAGGCCGGGTAGATGTTTCGGTGTGAAGTCAGACTGGTCGATGAAGTACATCCATCGTCCGATCGTACTGCTCACCGTATCCTGCGTCTTGTAGTAGGTCAATGGATTGTTGTTCGTAACCCATGTGAACCTACGACGCCCAAGGAGGAAGTGTCGCCATCGCTTGAGAGCCATGACGAACGCGAGTAGCTCCTTCTTCCTTGCATCATCAATTGACTTTGTGGCTGAAATACTCCACAGGGTGCCAGTCGTCGCCGTCGTGCTGTTCCAAGACTGCCCCAATGCCATAGCCGGAAGCGTCCGTAGTCACTCTCTTCGGCAAGGTGGGGTCATAGATGCTGAGGACGGGTGCCATGAGCATGGCCGTATTAAGTGCTTGGAATGACCGACGTGGGTCGTCATCGAATACGAATGGCACCTTTGGCGACTGTAACCTCGTCATAGGAGAAGCAATCCTGGAGTATCCGGTGATGAATCGCTGATAGTAGCCCTCCAACCCCATGAATGAACGAACGTCCGTGGTGTTGGTGGGCTCGGGCCATACTCGTAGGGCCTCGATCTTGTGCGCGAGCGGACGGATGCCTTGCGGCGTCACATAATGGCCCAAGTACTCCAGCTCCTGCCGCGCGAATTCACACTTGTCGCGGTTGGCTTTGTACTCGGCCTGTCGTAGCCGCTCCAAAACGGTGTGCAGGTGCTCCACATGCTCCTCCAAACTCCGGGTGTACACCAGGATGTCGTCGAGGTAGATAAGTACGTAACGATCCAGCATGTGTCGGAACTCCGTTGTCATAGCCGCTTGGAAAGTGGTCGGGGCATTCGTAAGGCCAAACGGCATGACCAGCCATTCGAAATGCCCATATCGTGTCTTAAACGCGGTCTTGTAGCGGTCCTCCTTGCGAATCTCGAGTTGGTGGTACCCTGACTTGAGATCCAGCTTGGAGAAGAACTGGGCGCCGCCCAAGCGCTCGAGAAGATCATCGATGCGTGGGAGAGGGTCGGCGTTCCTGATCGTCTGCGTGTTGAGCTTGCGATAATCAATGCACAACCGCAGGTCCTTGTTCTTCTTCCGGACGAAGAGAACAGGAGCACCGTATGGCGATGAGCTAGGCCGAATCCAGCCTTTCTCTAGAACGTCGTCGAGTTGTGCGCGGAGCACACTTAACTCTTCCTCGCTCATTCCGTAGATGCAACCGCGCGGAGGTACAGCCCCGTCCTCGAGGATGATCTCGTGGCGGATGGGTCAATCCGGTACTACTCCGTGCGGGCCTTCGAACACGTCGCTATAGGCGTCGAGAAGCTCGGTGATGCGTGGATCCGAAGGTGAGTCCGTCGATGAAGCGTCATGGGATGGGAGGGCGTGGAGAAAACACACCCCCATCTCCTCGATGTCGTCTCTGATGATGGAAGCTCGCATACTTGCGGCGGATACCACGTGGCAGCTGATCGAAGGATGAGGAAGGGGCACCGTGCATGGAACTAATACTCCGTTCCGATCACGAATGTGAACAGTGCGTTTGAAGAAGTTCACCGGGTGATCCTCGCTTCGCAGCCATGACATGCCCAAAATCATGTCAAATTTGGTGTCCGGAATATCAAAGGACACCGCCTCACTTGCGTGAGGGGCAAAGCACACGGGGACGGCATCAATGCACCGGTCGATTGACTTGTGTGTATGACCGTCTGCCAACGTGACTTGCGTAGGCTGGGACTTCCTCCGGACACGTGGGCCAAGGTCGGCGCGTACCATGAAGTCCTGGCTGATGTAGTTGCGAGTTGCTCCGCAATCGATCAAGGCACTGCAGGTCGCCTCTCCGATCTCAATGCGTACGTATAGCAATGGTGCGTCGATGCCGTCGTACCGTTGCGTCTTGAACTCGCGGTCGATCTTCGCAATGTACGCGAGAAGGTTAACAACCTCTGCTCCGGCGTCCATCAACGGAGCTGGTACTGCAGTGTGCAAGTAGTCCCGCAATTGTGCCATAAGCACGTTGCAATGCGGTTTCGGCAATCGTCCGGTCCACGGAACCGGCATCCACTGGAAGTCCGTGAACGTCAATGGGTCGAGCTCTTCAAGTCTTGACCATGACATCGAATCCCCGACGATAGATTGCGGTGAAGTTGCCAAATCGGTTGTCGATGGTGATGAAACCGTGCATGCGGTGGACTGTTGCACGTGGAGCGGTTGGTCCAGCGGTGGAACCAAGTGGACAGCATAATCCTCGCAAGTATACCGAGGCCTTGCGACATTCGCATCCTCCCCAGATGTTCAGGAGGCCGCTAGCAAGGCGGCCGAATCTGGCGGAGTAGAAGGTGGAGTCGCCTCACCTTCCGCAGAGCTCAGTTTACCGAGCTGAGGCGGGGTCGCACATCCTCCTTGCCCTGATCTTGGCACAGGGAGGTCTTGTGCTTGGTGCTATTGCACCAATAGCAGTTGCCGTAGCGGCCGCAGACCTTGTACTCCGCCTCGGTCAAGCCAAACTTGACCCATGGAAACTGTCCTGGCTGTCCATTTCCGGCCTGCGATGCAGATTTCGCCTTCCTATTGTTGCGGGACTTATAGGTGCTTCGCGGCTGGACAGCAGCCACCTGATCTCCGTCACTTGATGCTGGAGTGGCTCCTGGGTTATCTCCACTGTCCTGCTGGACTGCAGCGAAGTGCTGCTGTCGCAGACCAGTTCATACCTTCTCCACATAGGTCGGCTGCCATGATGTTGATTTCTGGTGTGCAGCTGACCTGTTGGTCTTAATGATCTACCTCGCTTTGTCAATAATCTCCGCAAAGGTTGAGTACTGCTCGCGATCACCAAGAGCCTGGCTCAATGCAGCACACAACCTGTTGTAGAACTCACGACGTAGATGCTCGAATGGTAAGTTCAGATTGGGCACAGCCACAATCTTTTGCCACTCCGCGAGCCAGTCCCGTGTTGCTGTGTTGCCCTGTGACATGGTGAACAAACGGTTGATGGCGAGTGCTGGCGCATCGTCGACGATGAACCGCTTCTTCCACAATCGTGTCAGTTCCTCCCATGTGATTACGTCCTTCAAGTCTGGTACGTTGACGCCGTAGGAGGTTGCCAGGTGGGTCAACCAGGTCTGGCATCCGCCCTTCGAGTTCAGTAATAGGGCGCCGATGTACGCATGCTTGTCTACGGGCAGAATCCTGAGTTGCGTTGTGAATGCTTCCCACCAGAGGACCGGATCCTGCTGCGTGTAGTCGTCGAACCTCTCCAGAGTGAACGTTAGCATCTTATACATCCTCGGATTGCCATTTGCGTTCGTCGTCTGCAGCTGCTGGACCTCGGTCTTCAATGTATGCAGTTGACTGCTGATGGTGGTGGTCGGCGCAGCGAAAGTGCTGATGTCGCCGAGCATTGCCACTACGTGGTCAACGCGGTCCTCCAGTTGGCGGCTAGAGGGTGCATTGCTGGAAGCCCGAGCAGCTGGTCCTGGTACAGCCTGTTCCAGGTCCAGCAATCGAGCATTGAGTGCCCGAGTTGCGTCCTCGTGGCTCTGCACCATGCGGCGGACCTGTGCCAACTCCTGATGCTGTTACGTCAGGTCCTGGTACTGTCTCTCCAACTCTGACCGATGGTAGTTGCAAGCATACAACAACCGCGTTATGAGTTTGGAGAGGAACTCCTTGTGCTTCTCTTCCGGTGTTGCCTCATCGCCGTTCGGTTCAAAATGCCAGTACTTGAGTCTATCGATGCTGTTGGCTTCATGCCGCTGCAGCAGATCCTGGGCTTCCTTGCGGCGAGCCTCTGCTTCTGCTGCCTCTTCAGCCTGTACGCGGGCAGCCTCGGCTGCCAGCAGGCATTGTTCCTCAGCCTCAATCTGAGCGTGGAAACGCTGCTTGTAGGCGGCAAGGGACTCGTTGAGCAGTTGCCCTGGCAGACCCGTCATGTTGCTGACGTGGCACTTTGTCTGACATGGCACTGTGTCTGACGTGGCACTGCTGATGTGGCACTGCTTACTTGGCACTGTGTCTGACGTGGCACTGCTGATGTGGCACTGCTGATGTGGCACTGCTGATGTGGCACTGCTGATGTGGCACTGCTGATGTGGCACTGCTTACTTGGCACTATGTCTGACGTGGCACTGCTGATGTGGCACTCCTTACGTGGCACTGTGTCTGACGTGGCACTGCTAATGTGGCACTGCTTACGTGGTACTGTGTCTGACGTGGCACTGTGACCTGGCACTGCTGATGTGGCACTGCTGATCTGGCACTGCTGATCTGGCACTGTGACGTGGCACTGTGACCTGGCACTGTGACATGGCACTGCTGACATGGCACTGCTGATCTGGCACTGTGACGTGGCGCTGCTGATGGGGCACTGTACCGAACCGGGATGCATGCAAGGGGTGGGTGGGAGGGAAAGCGTGGGTAGGTAACCAACCCAACAATACTTTCCTCCGGCCCTAATCAACAGATAAAATAAAAAAACAAAAAATAAAAGAGGACTACTTCCTTCTTTTTTTTTTCTGTATATATCTGTCGATTTATGATGAGTAGGATATGTCAGAAGGGTATTATGAACGAGATCTAGGCTAGATTCCACAAAGTTTCGGCTTTTACAAAC